TTTTGATCTTAAATTTATTTCAAGAATCTGCTATTAACGGGTATTAACGGTGATACCTTCTGGAACATTCTATATATAGTGTGTATTATTCGAAATATGTTTCCAATTATTTATGACTTTATTTTTGGCTGTTTTAATGAATTAATTGTGTTTAAATATTTTTTTAAGGCACGCGGTAGAGTAAGAGATATTATTAGTAAAATATCAAAATTGTCGGTACAGTTGAAAGTTCCAATACGTATTACGGAGCCTTTCGTGCATGTTAATAGTTAAAATTATTTAACAATATTAAAAAAGATTTTGTATTTACATATGAAGATTTTGCTGATAACCTTCAATTTCATTATACATTTTCCTGACAGGATCTTTTGGCAAATAGTTGTGCATCGCTGGTGCGATTTTATTGTTGCCGGATATATTGCCGTTGGCTAAATGCGCTACACCATTTTGTAGGATATGTGTTGTTCCTTTTGCGATGCCATTCTGATGAATATGACCATTCTGTTGAATATGCTTCATATTGTTCAATACACCATTAGAAATAGTACCCACTCCTAAGAAGGCAATAAATATTAAAATACATTACTAGCAATAAAAAATACGATGCACTTCTCAATTATTCTTAACCTATCGTTAATCACTAATTCAAGATTACAATCTAAAAATATACTTTAAGAATGAAAAAACAAAAAATTCTAAGAAATATATAAACTTATTCGGTACTTCTGAAAAATTTTTTAATTCGTATAAAAATCTAAGAAATTTGTTTTAAAAAGAGAAAAGAGAGTTACAAAATTATACAAAAATTCTTTGAAATGTTTTAATTTATATAGAAATAGTAAAAAATTATATAAACAATTCTAAAAAAAATTTTCTACGGCATTAAATAAATGCAAAATTGCTTACCTTGAGCAACAATTCCTTTTTTCGTCGCATCGGCTATCTTTCCAATATAATTAGATGTGCCGTTGACTACTAGTTTGGCATTGCCATTAGGTATGGCACGTTCATTTTGGTATTCATTTGAGGTATTTATTCCGTTTGGATGTTTCTTGATAGGCGAATCCAGATCGTATAGACTTTCTTCTTCTTTACGACGTGCTCGACGCATTAATTGATATAACGCAGCAGCAAAATCTTGCTGGACATTAGGTACATCTGTATCACCGTCCACCTATTTAAAACAATAATAATTTATTATTATTTGTAAAAGAATAAATAAATCATATTTTCAAAAGATAGAACTATTTCATAAAAATACAATTGTTTCCATTATTGTAGTCTTACTTCTATGATTCTTATAAAAAATGATTGATTTATAATCTTAAGACAACCATTTTATGCGTTGCTAAAGAAGAAAAACAAAAAGACTTAAATCAGCCATTATAAGTCTGCTAAGATCCTACTCTTAATAATCACTTTTTAAACTCCATCAAGAAAATAATTAAAACTTAGTTATAGCAATCTTTTTACTGATCGAGAGTTATTCCTTTTTTTTTATTTCTGTCTTCATTTTTATAGAAAATATATTAGGTGTGGGAAAAAGTTCGTGGCGTTTTTCCCGTTAGATGACATTAAAAAAACGCCACGAACTTTTTCCCATACCTAATAGAATAAATCTATGTGTCTGAATTTCAAATATTAATAAATTGTAGAACAATCAATAATATACAATATGTAATAATAATAACTCTTAATTGAAGTGCAGTCACTCCAAGTCATCGTTTACGCATGTAATTAAGTGATTATTCTTTTGGGTTATTGTCATCATTTCAAATAATTTTAGAAACTTTACTATATGAAATTTTCAATTTTAATAAATTTAATATTCCGTATTGTTATCAAAGGATGCCGCACCGACCTTATGGAAATCGACTCTTAGTCGAATTGGCTAAATTTTGGATACATTGTAAGTTTGGTCATTCTGAACAAATATCTCTATGAGCCCAATCTCCTTCTATGACTTGTTTTTGCACCAATGTTTTTGTTTTTACTACAAATCTTAGAAGATTTAGATTCAAGTCATTTTTTTTTTAATTGGGTTTTCGTGTTGATATTATATTATTATTGATAAATAAAATATATATAATAGATATATACATATATGAGGCGTGTATACAAGGTATTCAGCGTACGATCCGCACGATTTTTTGAACACTTCTGACACAGTTAAAAGAAATGGTTAAAAAATGAAGATTCTATTTCATGCAAATTACAACATGCGATAAAAAATTAAAAAAAAATTTTAAATAAAAAATTAAAATCTTGAATTTTTTAAGTAGTGCTATACAATTTTTTTCCATAATATTGAGATCTTTAAAACGAATTCAACATATTATCGAGAATGTCATCTTTATTGATGTTATGAACATAAACATATAATATGTATCATAAATATTCATTAATTTAAAAAAAGACTATGAAAGGAGGGAGTCTAAAAATGGCCAATTTTAGCGGTACCTTTAAAATCAATGTAGTTATCATCTTGAAAAGTCATGAAAGAAAATTTGATATATCCAAAAAAGCTTGGAAAACCTTCCAAAAATAATAAAGTATATTGTTTGAATGCTTTGCAAAAAAAAAAATAACTCATTTTGTTTCTAATAAACAGTAGATTTTAAAACTAATGGTGTGTTTACATCTAATACATATTGGATCATTAAATAGATATTGATATAATATACTATCAGAAAGATCCTCAAATATGTAAAATATCCCATCCTAAACAAAATATCGAAATATATCGGAAACTGAACCCAGTAGGCAAAAATGTTTCAGATAAAAGTCAAATAAAAGAGCTTGTAAAGGGACAAAAAGAGTAAAATCAATTTTTGAAATAAATAGATACTTTAAGGTCACATGAAGCTCACATCTCCATCTTTTTTTAATTGAGCGATATAAATTTTTTACGTAATAAGACTTTAATTACTCTGCATATAAATATATTAAGATAGAGATATAAAAAACCAATAGTTTACGAGATATTTAATATTACTTCATATTATTATGTGTTAAAATAAAGTGTAAACTATTAGTTTAGTGATATTGTTATCTTAATACATATACATATATGCTGCTTCTTGTCTTCACGAAAAAAACCATGGATGGAGCGGAAAATATCACTTTAACTGTTTTAAAGTAAAGGTTTCATTTTTTTAAAATGTACTTAGAAAAATTGTTCTGCGATGTCTGGAAACTAAGGCCGGTATTCATAGTCGATTTTTATTTCAAACTTTTATTAGGACTGTTTTAAAACGCTAATATAACTCTCTGATTGATTTGTGACAAAACTTAAATTGATCCTGAATATAAAAATTGACTAATAAATACCAGTCTAAATTACAGCTTCTGAAAGATTGGCAAAATTTAAGAAGGGCAAATTTTAAGAAGGGACCCTTTATATAAGGTTAAAAAAGTCTTTTTTTTTCATAAATCGATAATACAATTTTGCGGGAATATGTTCCTAAAATTTTAAAGCGAAATTCGAAATCCTTCGGTAGATTCAGTGCTTGTAACGGGAGAGTAGCGCAACGATAGTTGTCAAGGTACCGAGAAACATTATTTGATCCTTATTTACACCAATTCATCAATCAAACGATCTATTAACGTAATGTTTTGGATGAACACATCCATAATGCAAACGGAAATTTGAATTTGACCATCTGGAGACTGACGCACCTCAATTGCGGTACAAAAATACTCGAAATCGCTGCTTTTATTGTCACTGACAGTATTAACAAGGGACATTCTACCGTTTTAAAAATCATAAATTGGCAATCAACATTTATCCGGAATGCAAACATTATGTATGACTCACGAACTTCAGGCAAGAGCGCCGATTGAGTAGCATGAAAAATGTCCCAGCTCGTAAGCTGGCCTAAATTATTTGGAATGAGTTTAATAAAGAAGCTGAAAGATTACTAAGCTCCCGGAATAAAAGATTAGACTCCGAGTACTGTACTCAAGAACTACTATTTTTTTACATCGAAAATTTTAAACACTTTTTTCTCGAAATCTGTTTTTGGCAATCTTTTAGTTTTAATGTAGATGATTACAAAAAAATTATTTATTGATTTTATATAAAACTCATTAGTTAAATAATAGTTTTAAACTCTCTTTGATAGCACTAAAAAAGTTAAAAAACAACATTAACAATTTCTTTTTTGTATAAAGAAACGCTACCTAGTGAAAATCGTAACAAAGTCGCACAAAATTTTCATTTTTATATATATTTTTATTTTATAAATTCACTTAGGATATTATATGAAAACTAAAAATATTTCTTGCTTTTTTATGTGAGTGTACATAAATTAAAGTGTTGAGGATATATAAAATGATAACGTCGATGGCGACGCACAAAATTAAATGTTAATTTTTTTTTCATTAATAATATTTTTCTGTATACAACAAAATGTAATTATATTCTTTAATAGTTATTTTAAAACATGCAAAAGTTTTAGAGCGATAAGCCTTCCTTTTAAAAAAATCACTTTTTTTCGGTCTCCTAAATCAGGCTTCTCCCTTAAAATGATCCCTTAATTTTGATGTGTAATATGTATTTTGTAATATGTATGTATTTTTATATGTCGTTTTTATATTTTGACTTATTTATATTCGTGCTGTTCATATTACATTATAAGTATGTTTGTTTATTAATAAGTGCAATTGTTTATTTGCGCTTACTTGCGTTTTTACATTAATACAAAATTTAAAATTTATTTCAACATTGTAGCATGTTTTATCATAACTCAATTATTTATTACGTACAATTATTAACCGATTATCGCTGTCCAGCGTTTTCAACATGGGAAGAGACACTTCGCGAAAAAGTTCCAATCTTTTTCTAAATGCTGAAACACTGTCGTCCAGTCTTCCTCTCCCGAGTTGCAATTTGGAACAGTCAAGTAGTACTAGTGGTGGTTCCTGTCCAAACTATTAATAAATAATATAATGCAAATGATTAATACTTTATTAATACTAAGCGATGTATTGAATAGAAAGTTATAAAATCAAATTGATGACAAGTGTAATTCGCGATTTTGAAATACTCGCTTAAGAAAAAATCGGTTCACCAAATTTTTGCACAATTTCGTAAAACAATAACAATAACTCATTAAAAAATCATTATATTGAAATAAAAAAAAAGCTCAAATTAAAAGCTACATTCCTCTGTAAAATCAAAATTGAGTTGAAGGCCATATTACAAAGAGGAATTTTTTTTTTTATAAAACTATAACTTGGAAATAAATCGTAAAAAACCTTTGTTAAAAGAGAAATTAAATTAGAAATTTTAATATCTTTTAAATCATAGCCCGTTTTTCAACTTAAAAATTTTGCATTTAATGTTATCGTTTTCGTCATTCGATTTTACGACTTTTCCTATAATATATATATATAAAATCAGTTTTTCAATATCTATCTCTTTTCTTGTTCCGTTTTTTCTGAGAAACATATATATGTAGTCCATCTTATGTATTGCGATTAGTCACTTAACTGATTAAAAATTTATATTTTTTTATCTGTTCCGAAGTGTTTATACTCAGAGCATGTTTATAATTGGCTTATATAACACGAAACAATTGATGGTGATTCTTGACAAGAGTATATGAAAGCTTTTTTTCATTTTTCAAAATCTACTTTCAATATCTGCATTTACAAACAATTTGTAAGCAACATTTTTTTGGAACTAAATTTTGATTTGTTGATTGTCAAAAGAATGTTTAAGATTTAATTGAGCTATTTTCATCTCAAAATAATGAAATTTTGAAGACATAAAAAAATGAATAAATGTATATGCAATGCAATCAATTTTATTTACTTTCGTCTGAAATTCCTGCACTTGATTCAAGTCTCTCGGATATCCATCCATGACGATACCGTCCGAATCTCGATTCAAAAGAATCTGCTGTTCTACAAGCTGCATTACGATATCGTGAGGGACCATTTCACCCGAAACAATTGCATCATTTACAATCATATTGGACGAAGCCATCGTTCTAAATAATTCTCCAATACTTATATGCAGCCAGCCTGACATATTACGAACAGCTTGGGTGCAAAGAGCCGCCTTATTACTTCCTGGTCCACCTAATATATACGATATACGATTATATTATGCATTATTTCTTAATAAGAAATTAATTAATTAATAAAGAGCTGTGGATTAAAGATTCAGCGACTAATAAAAGTACATAGCAAAAGAAAGATGTCAATATTGATTGTGGTTATTACGCGCGCGACGAAAAATTGAAAGGAATGCGCGCTTAGCAATTGCCAATTTTACGTAACGCTGCGCTACACCTTTTGCCGCTGATCGTGCGGATCCATGGATGTTTATCAATTAATTAATCGTTAATTATTGAGACTTTTTTTAAAAATAATATAGCACTTTTTTATTAACACAGTTTAAATCCGCTCTATTTACTCATGATCAATATTGCATTTTCTTTTAGATTATATATAGTATGCACATCATATGCACGCATGCATGTATATATTGAAATAAAATATACCTATGACCCAAATAAATGATGGCAATCCTTTTCTCGGTTTATCAGCAGTTTTTGGTGCGTCTATTGATATAGAAGCTGGTAGCCTATTATTAGTTCCTACAACTTGTTTGACTAATGCTGAATCCGTGGTCGATTCCTTTCTCCTTTCCACTTCAACCTGAATACGATATAATGCAATCCAATGATATTTCATAAAAAATAATTTATTAAATTTGAATTTATACTTACTTCGGCTTCTAAAGATTGAGGTACATCTTGATCGTGAATTTCACCGCTTGATATTCCAAGAATTCTGAGAACTGCATCTCGAAAACTAACATAGACCTCACTTGGGTTGCGTTCCCCATTTATCTATACAATTTTCATTTATATTTATAGTAAATATAATTTCCACATAACAAAAATGTAATAAATATTAGTTTATTATAATTATACTATTATTATAATTTCTGAAGCTTTTTATTTTCTGATTAAGCTTAACTTGTAGTTGTGATGATTTTATTCAATGGCTTCTCTATCTATGATAATGTAAATAGATAAAAGCCATTGGGTGAAATAACAAATAAAGTTTAATTACAAGTTAACCAAATAGTAAAAATTGTGCCTAAGTTATCTAGTTATATTATTTTTCAACTTCCTGATAAAGGAATCATTTTGTACAATAACTTTCTCGCGTTCAATATTAATATGTGCACTTGCCACCTTCCTTTATCTCTTTTTAAAATAGTAATGTTTGAAAACAATTGATAATTCAAGCAAAGCGTGGTTCGCGAGCCATCTCTACCCGATTTTCCCCCATCACGCCCAAATAAAAAACTAATAACTCAAAATAAAAAATATTAACAAAATTTATATTTGATGGAGCACGTTAATAGCAAATTTGTTTACCTCAAGTAACATGCCACTTTGATCAAAATATTCTGCAACTGGCATTACGTTTCTATAAAAATTATGCAATTCCATTCTAGCTAATCCAATGATAACATGGCCGAGTTGTGCACCGAAATCAATTTGTCTCTCCAACACTTCTTGCCTCCACGATACAAGAATGACACCATTAACGATTTTTATCTACAAACATTTTAAATGCATTTTTAAAATATTATTTTATAGTCTTATCACTTATCCGAATACTACATATAATTAACAAAAGACCTATTGCTACACATAATGCTGCTCATTTTTACTTCTTTATAATCCTATTTGCATCAATTTGCATTTATAAAACGTAATTTTAGACAAAATTTTTTCTAGACTTTTAATTTTAATTTCAATTATTATATGATATTATTCGTATATTGTTTCTACAGTAAAGTTTCCATTTCATTTTGTACAATTTAACTACAGAATTTGTGTATTAAGCAAATATTGCTGTCAGATGACAACTGTACGTTCCAAAAATAAATGATATTTTTAATTTTTTTTGTTTTTAGCATAAAGTCATTTACATTGATTATTTTTATATATATAAAAATTTTGCAATTCTGTAAAGCCAATTCAAAGATATTCTAAAATGATAAAATGTCGGTAATTTGCTTCATTTTAAAATTCCCTTAAGAACTAAGTATGAGACACTCACTTTTTCGGCATATTCTACCACATCACGCATATTTCGTGGATATCCGCTTACAAGAAAAACTTTGGCTCCTGGGGACATTTTCATCTCAAGCATGAGTACTTCTGTCACGGTTTTGCTACTAAGTTGTCCAAAATCTTGCATATCTGTATAAAAATAGTTGAAAAAATGACATGTTGCACAAATATAAAATTTCTTATTTACTAACGTTATTATATTTAACATTAGAATAACCAATCGAGATGATTTTTACATCTCCGCGGCGAGAAAATAAAGCTCAGTCACAATAATTTTCTTCACTGATTGAGAATTCATTTCTACTTTCCTAATTTCTTAAATTCTTTTTTAAATATTGAATAAATTTGTACATAACAACCTTAAATACTAGTCACTTCTGTCACGGTGCGCCAAAATCTTTTATTTTCGATAGTTTGTTGCAACTTGCAACAAAGAGTATTGAATTTTATTCAATTTCCACCTGAGTACTCCTCGGACGTCAAGTCATCCCAGCAAACGAGAATGAATTGAAATGAATTAAAATGGATTCAGATTTTCAGAAATATTGATTCATGAATGTTAAAATGAGTGCTTTTCAATCCTAAATGCATTTTTATTCATTTATAGGAATTGGAGCATATCTCTATGCCTTTCAATCTAAAAATAATATTAACTTTTTCTGTGCATTGTGATATGAATACTGTTCAATTCAAAATTTTGAATAGGAAATGCAGTTTTTCCAATTGCATCGAATTTAATTTAATTGAATCCAATTAAATCCAAAAAAAAGTATTCGCTATTTAAAATATGCATTCGAATAAAAAAAAATTTCAATCCATTTTAATTCATTCTCGTTTATTGGGATCCTTGTTGTTTAACAAATGTTAAACAATGATGACATGACATCCGAAGAGCACCCAGTATGCCTGCGCATATACATATATGCACTAATCATAGTGAGTTACGAATCCTCCTAGCTATTCTACTGTTAATAATAATTACTTTTAATTATGATGTAAGAATCATTCTAGATCTAAATGATTGTTTATGCAACAAAAGACTATTCACGAGTTAAAGATAAAAAATTAATATATAATTTATATATGTTTTCAGAGATTACATATATTTATACCATTTAAATTGCACTTAATTATTGTCCGCTTGATTTTTGTTATATTTTGCATTTTAACAATGAACCATTAGTCATAGGAAGCGTTAAACATTTTGTCTTAATGTTAAAATATGCTTTGATGTATTTGACAAAATATATTACGTCTTACCTATATACGATCGGTTTTTTGTTAAGATGCAAATGACAAGAGGAAATTAGTGAACATCAATATTGGATTAAGAGGAACTAACCACTAGTTTATAGTTCTTGGTTATATTATTAAGCGCATTTTTTAAATAATTTATCGATATCGAAAGATCAGATTTATATCATAATTCAACTACCATTGTTATAATCGATCGAAATATGTATATGTAAATAAAATGTAGTAATCTATAAAATAGATGCACGAAGTGGTATGAATTATGTGGAAAATATGGAAAAGAGTCTGAGGAAAGTGATTACCATAAAAGTGATTACCATAAAAAATCGGTTCACTAAGAAAATAATCATGTTTAAAATTATCACTTATATGTAATAAATAATGTAGACACATTAATAATATTATTACATACATTAATAATATCAAGAGAATCAATGAAGTATTAAAAAGACATGTATATATTTTTATTTCATAAAAATAAATAAATATTTGATGAATATTACTAAAACTGTGTTTATATTAATTGAAAATGTCCAAACAAAAGAGAAATCTTCCTTCAAAAGAGAATAAATGTAAAAGCAATAATAATTGCTATTTTTTATTACTTAATATGAATTAATCAAAAAATTCAAGATACGTCTAGTAATATAACCAAAAACTGTACATCATGTATACATATATATCACTAATATATATCATTAAAATGTTATATAAATAAGAAGTAAATACGAACCATTTCCTAATGCATATTGTTGAAGAAGATCCATCATATTAATATGTGTTATTCCTTTTTTCTCCTGTATCAAATTGTCGCAATATGTCACCTTACCGCTACCTGGGCCTCCTATAATCATAGAATAAAACAAGTAATAAATTAGGCTAATGGGAATCAGCGCAATGCGTAATTATTTGTTTTTTAACGGTTCAAAAATGACATTAAAATACAAAAGGAAACTAGGTTTTAATTGAAATTTTCATTATCAACAAGAGAGTATATACAAATTCAATGTGGTCATATAGAATATGTATTATAAAATATATTGAAAATTATTCCTAAAATATGATTTCTGATGAATTCGCAACAATTGATATGTACTAACCAAGTACGAATATAACAGGAATTTTTGGTATTTCGAATTTAATTGGACCAACATTTTGTTTTGGGAATTGTCCATCTGGTGGAGTAGCCAAAAGACCAGCCTCTCCTCGCCATCTTCCTGTAGCTCGAGCATCGTTTTCCTCGAACATCTGCGATCCATTTGGTTGATCTAAAATACATTTGCTTTGTAATGTATCATGTATATGCGGTGGATTGAAATATTCGCTCTATTTAAGAAATTCAGTTCAAATAAAAAATATTAGTAAAAGTATCTTATAAAATTATTGTCAAATTGTATCGTTCAATTTCTCGATTTTAAATTCAATTTTTAAAATATCTGACAATTACGACAAATGCTGCAACATGTAAATGTCTTAGTCAAAGTATTAATTTTGTTAAATGTATACACTTACTAGTCAATGTATATATTACGTGTAGTAAATGTATACATTGACTACAGTAGCCTACAGTAAGTGTATACATTTACTGAGTTAACACTTTGACTGTGACAAAAAAAAAAGAATTCACTCTCTCTCTCGCTCGATTAAAGAATTTGCTAAGAAATCTAATTGTATTATTCAACAGAAAGTGGTTTTTTTTTTTTAATACAAAAGCGAATGTAATCATTTTCCATAATTAGTTTTTTAGGCGCTAACGATGCATTTTATTAAATTGTTCTATCAGGTCGCAATTTTGAAAAAATATTGCGATTAAAAAATTTAATTTAACGATTAAGTTGTAAAAATAAGGTCTTTTAGTATATTTTGGCATATTATAACTATGTGATGTGAAGCTTCATTGTAATAAAAATTAAATATGTTGTTAATATATTGTTCAATCTTCAAAAAAAAGTTACATTAATTATACTAGTTAAAATTTTTTTAATTATGAACAAGATGTTTCTTTTAGATTTTTGGATGCCAAAAACAGCAAAAACAATATCAGTTAAATCACTAGGATGTTAAGTTTCTGAAATATCTTAAGGTGTAATGTGCAAAAAATGGCTTTTTAAATTATAAAAAAGGTTATCTTGAAATTTTGATCAGAAGTCACGATTGTATTGTTTATTTCCTACTAGCACATTACGTGCGTGCTGTGTATAATATAAATCTACTTTACTTTTTATATGTATACATTATATATGTATAATTTCTTCATGTTCACTTTTTTTACGATATTATCTTAACTTAAATTAAGAAATTATCAATGTAGTATACATGTTCAATTTAAATCTAACACAATATTTATTATGAATAAAACAATCATTAGTTTCTTAAGTTCTTAAATGTCGCATATTGATATTATAAATATTATAAAAATCGTATATTTAACTACACAAACTAGAATATTACAAAAGAAAAAAAATTAAGACACCTCGAATTTTTCAACTAAAAATACTCATTAAATGAAATGAAATTCTCTAATTTGAACTATTATAATAATTATTATTCGTGGATATACTAACCAGTATCCAAGCAGATGCCCATAGTAAATTGTTCAAAGGCTGACACGATCCTTCTACGGCCATTTACGGCATTCACATGCCTCTGACAGATAAACTCATCCTTGCTTCAGCACATACAATGTTCTGAAGAATTACAATATGTAACTTCACAAAATTTTCACATCATGCAAAGATGTTTCATTCTCAATTTTTGTAATTTATTTTTGGCAGCAGATAATCAGAAGTTATTTTAAGATGAATATACATACACTTGTTTGATTTTTTAAATTCAGTCCTATTTATCCATGGGACTTTATTTTCTCCCCTATGAAGCGACGTCTTAATGACGGAGGCGTACGTACGTGCCACGTGTTGATTTGTGTCACATCTATTCGACGTAATTTTTTTAATAGATGCTTGAGAATGAAAGCAAGTAAAATCAGTGTCCACATCGACGTTATCTGAGCTGTTGAGAAATTTACCCGACAAGTCCACAAGCAAATAATTGCACGATTAATGTAATTCGGATGTTATATTATATTTTTAGATTGAATATGAATTATTTGGATTAATGAACACTCTTAATACAAGACATTATTACATTTTAAAAAAATATATATATATATATATGATGAAAAATATATATATATATATATATCTCGAAAAGGTGTTTGAATATTAATTTTCTGATTATAGCAAGATTCTACCTCCTATATTTGATATTATTTTAATATTTTTGTTAAATATAATATTTTATGATTTTTGCTTTAGAAAAATCAAATTTCTATCAAGTTCATTGATAGCGATTATCAAATGAATCATTTTTATAACTATTTCAATGCAAAATTAGCATAAATGTAGAATAGTTTTGTTAAGAAAGAGAAAAATATCATGTTGTGAACAAATTAACATTCATCAAATAACAATATCAAATTATAAGATATATTATCACTATCACTAAAAAAATAAGAATATAGTAAATAAATTTCAAAGGTCTCCTTTTGCAGTTAAATGGAAAAAATAAGAAGAAATAAATTATATGGAACTAATATTTTTTCTTTCTTGAATATCAATAAAATAGAAAAAACATGTTTGATTGCTATCAATGCTTGATAGAAAATGTTCATGTTTTAATAACTTAAGAAATTTGTAAAGTATAGATTTGCTCAACTTTTTATTGGACCGCTTCCAATTTTGTAGTGCTGCTTATGTAGTGTTTTTATAGTATTTGAAATACGCTCAGCAAGTTACACGTAAATACATATTAATTTTACTTTTCCACTCAACAATATAACTATAATATAATACACGTGTTATATTACAGTTATATTGTTGAGTGAAAAATTACAACTAACATGCACCTTACATGTAATTTATTAGGCGATAAGAAGGATAAAAAAAGAAAACTGATGTTCGCTCGATTTATTGCTTACATTACAGATTTTCTCTAAAAAAATTATAATTTATCATAACTTTGAATAATTCATTCAGCACATAATTTCTTTTCTACATGATTTTATTTTCTAAATACTAAATAAAAACACTACATTAGCCAAATTGGAGGCAGCCCAATGAAAAGTGTTACTCAATGAAATAATATTGCATTTTATCAAAAATACAATATTACGAATAAATCTATTTATTTATTTATTTATTTATTTGTCATAATTAATCTTGCGTAGAAAAAGTAAACAATAATGCACATAAGTGTCAAAATAATAAAATACTTGGTTAATTAAAAAAAAAAGAAAATATTATATGTGAGTAACATGAAATATAACAAAAATTCACATAGCAAAAAGAAATTTATTATAAAAAGAACTAAAGCAAGTTGAAGAATGATTAAATGCAAAGAAACAACAAAATTAGTATTAACGTTTAAAATATAAATTAAATTCTTTGTTCCAATAAGACATGATTCGTGTTAAATAAATTAGATATACAGAAAGAATTTTTTTTAAATTTACTCTGAAAATATATAGTAGTTGTGATACAATACAATATTTTAAAGTTTTTATCATGCTTCAGTAAAAAAAATTTGTTTCAGTAAAATTGATCAAATTTATACTTTATTGTAGTTTTATTAATAAGAGAGATTTATAATACGAGAGATTTAAAATTCTTCAAGATACAATGTTGTCTCACGACTGTCATATTTTCAAAATAAATTCTAAGAAAAAATTCTTTCCATGTACTTTAACAAAAATGAGAAAATGAAAATAAAAGAAGTACAAACTACTAAGAAAAATTTAGGATACATATCAAAATTAATCATTTACAGAAATAGTTAATATAATCATCAATGAATTTAAAAAAGTCATCAGCGACTTCAAAATTGTGTTTTAATAGTTCATAATTAATACTGATTTAAGATGAATGCATAAGTATGATTCAAGTCAACAGTATCGAATATGAAAATTAAACAATTTTCAATGAAGAAAAAAAATGGAAAATCAAAACATCGCATTTCAAAACTTTGAAGAACCGATCGATCTTTCATAAGTGCGACTCACAATAGATGAGTGATCAATGAGTAAATCCGCACACTCCCGTACGTTTCCTATCAAGTGGAGTAATTTGCCTCCACTTGCGCGCAACACTTTGAGCAAATTTGAAAACGAACGAAGCACTCCGACTTTGCATTCGTCCAGAAGTGTCAGTGCAAAGTGTTGTATACAAAAACATAAATGACTATGAGTCACGACATTTCCATGACCGAGCTTTCTTGCAACGCGCACGACAATGGTATAATGATTTATCAGGAACGAATAGAGGTCGTAGTAAGAACCACATGTCACCATGGATACCGCGCAAGCGCCCATTCTTTATACGTTTGTGCGTGTACTTTACATATAGTAGTGATAAGGGACAGTTGCGCGCGGGTGTATATGTATGGTGTGTCATATGCGTGTGACATGTGAGGGTGTAACGTGGAGGTTCAATGTCAAGTTCTTATTGGACACGACTGTTCTCGACTAGGAGTTCGTCGATAAGTATATAGTCAAATGAGAATATGACAATGTGATACGCGAATAACATATTCAAGTAACGACATCATTTGCCTTTGCATTTCATCGAAATATAATACATACATACATAAATACAACTGCATATGCAACTTATTAATATGAATCAAACGGAATGAAAATAAAGTGATAAAAAAAAAAGTTATTTATCGACTTTTCTATATTGTATAAACTTTTATCCGTTTTCCTCGTTCTAATATTTTCTATCTCAAATAATTTACATCAAATTAATATTAAATATTTAATATAATTATATTAAAGTGCTATAAGCAACTGTAAAAAATTTGCTTAATTGAATATGAATCAATTGTGCCTTTGCAAGTCACGTAAGAGTTTGAAAAATATAATCATCTTTTCCTAGTAAAATTGTCAATATGCATTTATATTTTCGTGGGATCTTTTAGGGTAACGACAGCTGTGTGCAGTAATACTCTTTAACGTAAGAATACAGGAATGAGGACGTGTCAAGCTTTTAACGCACGAGGTTGATATGAAATTTATGTTCCTCGTTTCAAATCGATCGAGAATTAAATAAGTAAGAACCATAACAAGAAGATATATTTACAATGAACGGGTTTACAACTGTATAATGCTTTTATCCTTGCATGATATAAATCTAAATGCAAGTTACAATACTTAAACTTCCTAATTCAAGATTTTGAACTTTCTACTGTAAAATACTATACGATATTTTTATAAAAATTTGTTTTATTACAAGATTTTTGCAATTTGTAGGTGTTTTACCACTTTAATATTATTACCAATCCTTATATTACTTTATATTTTAAATATACATATTTTGCGATATTGTATAAATCTTTAATCACTTCTTTTCTTTTATGTAATATAATTTTGACTTTAACTAATGAAAAGTTTATACTCGAACAGAAAGTCCAAAAATCAAAAGTATTAAAAAAATTAAAGACATGAAAAGATTTAAAATGAGTGCTATGAAATTAAGAAAGCTGATTTTTTTAATACATAGATTAATTTAATACAGAAACGTTTAAAAAAAACGTATATAT